AGTCAGATGCATGAAGGAAAAGTCTGGTGTCCGCCTCTTCGTGGGTACAGGGTGAAATGAGAGCTGTGTCTGTGGTCGTGTTTGAAAGCACACATTTGTCGCTTGTAGAGAGAACGGTCTTGTCTTCAGACTGAAGAGATACGGTTTGGTCGGCAAGGAATAGAAAGAGCTCTGTCTTATTGGCATCGACCCTCAGGAATTCACTCCAGTTGCCTGGAAGCCGTACATCAGGCTTGACTCGACGGCGGATCCCCTGACCTCGCTTACTGCGCGTGTGAGCTTTCAAACTGTCATCTATGTATCGGTCCCAGATGACATCTAGACGCTTAACCTTCTGCAACTGGCTCTTTATGTGGGGCAGATAAACCAACTCAGCATAATCAGAGAAAGTTTTACATGCGCCCGAAGGTTTCAGCATGTTAACCAATGCCGCGCCATCAATCAGCAACGCATCGACTACAGGACTTGCTGTTGCTGTCGGGACCGTTGACAGATTCTCTAGAGATTTCAACAACTCTGATTTAACTCCAAGTCGCAGTTCTCCATATTTAGAGATCGACGGGGGATGGGCTTGGTTTTCATGGGCGAAGAACTCCTCGATATTACCTTGACGCACTTGGCAGGAAATGTATAACTGAGAAAACAGGGAACAGTTCTCCTTTAATGTGTTAACAGCCTGGTTTCCCCTGATAGGCGACTTTCTTGAGACAGTATAATTTAAGATAACAGATTCCTGGTCATTTCTACAATAATTTAGGGTGACAATTGGCTATAATTATCATCTAGATGTTTTATTTTTCCAACATTTCACAATGACTCCCTTGACGGGGTCCATAATATAAATTGTTCAGTGAGCCAAATTTAGCAATTTGACTTAATTTGGAGCACTTACACGTTTTGTTTTCGATCATGTTTTGTGCCTTACTAGGAGAAATACAAAAATTGTCACCACCCCCACCCCCTGGTGCTCAATTGTGCTCCCCCTGAACATATTTTTAATTGTTCAATGAGCCAAGTTTAGCATTTTGGCCTAATCTGGAGCACTTGGGAACACGTTTTGTGCCTTATTAGGAGGAATCCCAAAAAATCACCACCCCTCCTCCCTCAGGTACAACCTTTGCACCCCCCTTGACTTTGTCTAGAGTTTAAATTGTTTAGTGAACCAAGTTTAGGAATTTGGCCTAATTTAGGGCAGTTGGGATCACGTTTTGTGCTTTATAAGAGGAAATACAAAAAATGACACCACCCCTCCCCCCTGGTGGCCAATTTTGCCTCCCCCGTCATGGATCCGAGGGGGTCCATAGCTAGAATTGATCAGCAGCTTCAGAACTACAAGTGTGCCAAATTTGGTGCTTTTCACAGAAAGTGCACAATTCGACTATTTTTTTGCACGATATTGCTGGACTACATACCCATTTCTGTAAAGAGTAACAAAAATGTTGATCCAGAATGATAACTTTCCGTTATGTGCAGTCCAATTTTTTTCTACTGCAGACCATATAATATTAAAATAATACACGTATGTAATAAATTCTTCCTTTCCTGAGAGGAGTACATGCAGTATTTCAAATGAAATGCTTTCAGTGAGCATCATACATGTATGTACATTTAATACATGTATATCCCGCGTTCCTCTGTTTCCACTGGGTATCTAATCATTACTCGGGAATCACATTATTCGTACATTAATAATATACAGTAACTGTACTCTACTATATCTACATGTAAATAAGAAGGCAGGAAAGCCATAGACAGTTTTGCACATGTATGGGGCAATTTTACTCAATACTCTTTACATTTTTAATTTCTTTGTTCTACGCCCTTTTATATACCAAATTATCTTATTGTTATTACTAAATAAAACACTATTGTTAGCTACCCTTGTTATTATTATTTTAGTCTCCTCCCGCCTCTAATAGCCCTGCTAATTTGCAGGATGTGAAAAATCTATGTATTATATCTTGAGACATAACAAAGCTTGTTGTTGTTGTTGTTGTTGTTTGTTGTAGCTTTGTGGTACACAGTTTGTTGTATACCTTGTAATGACTTAGCCATGTTTTCTTGAACCAGCATTGTAGCTTTGGATTTTGAATCCAGACTTGGCTTCCCATCAGGCTTTTGACTGCATCGTGGTATTTTTCAGGAGATGTAGCATGTGCAAGTCTTCTTATGTGGCAGAGGACCTCTTCCTTGATGTGGCTGACACCATTGGCAGCCTTTGATACCCATCTCTCCCATGCCTGTTCGCGGTGGAAGTCACAAAGATATAATGTGGTGTCTGGAAGGGAAAACATCATATCATTAACCTATGTTTAACAATTTGATGGTCATGCAGGCATAATACACAGAGCATTATATGGAACCCCAAAACCAGTGATGTTGGTCTTTAGCAGGTAATAAAAAAACAACAAGTGCACATATTATGTACTCTATAAACGTTTATGAGGGTGTACAATATATGAGGCCTTGTAATCCTGTACATACTTTTGAGTATTTGTGTTTACCTATGGAGATAAAATAATTTATTAGGTATACCCAGGTGGACATACAACATGATAAGTTAGCACTTCCTCATTGAGAGCAAAGTTCATCAGGTGAATTATCACTCTTTGATGAAGTGTGGGGCAATAAAATACCATTAATTGTAATAGTACTTGATTATTAATTTTTTCCTGTGCAATGTTACTGTGATATCTTACAGTACCTGGGTTGTACTTCCTCAACAGCATTGATTTCTTGCTCACTCAAGTCTGTCATAAAGAACTGGGGTTTCTATGATGGGTTCCAGTCCTTGAGCTTCTGTAGAGCTTCTGCAATGGCTTCGGTTGTTTCATGCTGAATAATGAAGGAACCAACCACTTGGTAGTCAACATTTGTTTTTACGGCAAGGAAAAACAGTGGCAGTGAGTACCTGGTGGTTCGGTACGTTGCATCTAATAGGCAGATGTTGTTGCCATATCTCCCTAGCAGTCGTCTCTGCCAATCTGTTTGGTGGACAAACAGGAGGGACTGTTCGGAGGTCATGTCGGTTACTTTCACCTCCTCGTCAAAGTCTTCATCATCTTTACTAGAATTCTCTTCAGCAGGTGCAGTTATGTCACTGTCTTGGTGTCTACCTGTATAAGGACGGAAAGTGGAACATGTCCTTAGGCTGTTGCCTCTTCCACTCCTCTACTTTTGAAGATACATTGCTCTGATCACATTTAGAGAACCTGTTTGGACCACTGCCCTGTAAATGTGATTACGGAGATCCTTCTTACTGGGAAAAGAGCGACGGTTGAAAGCGGGTGGTAACTCTTGGCCACAGAATAAGTCATTGGTCAAGAATTCTCTCAGGTGCCGCCTCATTTCATTGACATTCAGAATACCTTTCCCCACTAGGTATTGAATTTTTGGGCAACCCTGGGTTCCACTGCTTGTTGTATACCACTTGCCTACAATATATAACAATGATAACAGAGTATCACTATTACAGTCTTGGTTGCTGTGCTCGACTGTATTTGATTCTTAGTTGTTCCTTACAGTATGTTTATAGTTATGATGTATAGAAGCCAGGGCACTGAGTTACTGGCCTAGAAGCAACTCATGATCAGCGCCATTATACTGTAAAATCTCTATGAAGCCCCCAGGGTGCCTTATTTCATTTCAGGCCCCAGGAGGGAGGGGGGGGGGGGGGGGCTTTTAGAGAGGGGGTGCTAAATAGAGCTTTTACGGTAATGCTTTCCCAATTCAATAGTGGACCATTGTTAACGTTTAGCACTGGATCTTATATTTAAAAAATGCCATGCCTTCAGGGGCTTATTTTTTCCACCCAAACATATTTCAATTTCATTAATTTTTTTAAACAACAATATAAGGTTTTTTAACCAGTACACTGACAATGGATGCTAATTATTTCATATTTCTACAGGTTAACATGCAGAAAAGTCATATTAAATAAATTTATGTTGAGATAGTGTAGTTTATATTAATTTTGTAGTCTTTATGCAAATTTATTACTGCATAACAGCAACACTGAGAATCAAGATAGGTTTTAATATTAGTGTAAAAAGATACTATAAAATTGTACCCATTTCTTGAATGTGATGTTGTCTGAACCTGCTTTACCTCTCAGAGGCTTTAGACTGAGGAAGGCTGGCTGTGATTATTTAAAAAATGATCTAAGTACACTAACCTCCCCAAGGATGTGGTTTTGTGGCTGCCTTTATCTGGAAAGTTGATGTAAATCCTGCATTCAGTTGATTTAATAGCATTTACGCCTTCTTTTATGGCAGTCCTTAGTTTCGCTGACATGTATTTCCGCTTCCTTTGAACTTTCACTGTCTTCAGGGATCTAAAACCCAAAATTATAATGAAAACAAAGAGAAAATGTTGATTTATTTCCGTGCAAAGCTTTATTTTCTAAAAATGACCATTAAAAGGCAGGTCACTGTAGTAAATCAGATGTTAGTGGTGTATATAATATAATATCAGGCAGTCTTTTTCATTTACTATTTTGTGAATTTAATAATTATAGGTAATAACATGTAAAAGGATGTTTCACATGAGTTCATAAATTACAGTGGATATATTACAGTGGATATATTAATTTTTGTTGAAATGGAGAACATTTGAATAGGAGAATTATCATCACATGGCCGTTCAAGACATTAAGCAAGGAACCCCCTTTTTTAGATCATTGACCAATAGCTATGTCATTGGTTAATAAGCAAATAATATTGTGCTAAGCTAAAAATAGCATTAATAAGCAAAGTTCCACAATTTCTGACCTTGAAACTCTGGAAAAAACATGACTTCTCTCATGTAGATTTGTGCTGGACAATCCAATTTTTTGGTGTTTTGCACAAGCTTCTTCTTTCTTCGGGTATAGCCATGGTCGCTAGATCCTTTCTGTAGACAGTGTAATTTGTATGATACAAACACAAAGTTAATTACTAAATGAATAAATGATCGTCGCAGTTGTGAATGCAATTGAAGCAATTGAAGCCAGAAAAAATTTCTGGCTTCAGTGGGATTTGAACCCATGACCTTCGTTGTACAAGTGCGATGCTCTACCAAGTGAGCTTTGAAGCCACACATTGGGAGCAGGTCAATTAGGAGTTTATATACCTGTGATATGAATGGAATGTGATGATGAATATATGAATGAGATCATATATGTGAACTGCGGAAATTAAATTAAATGAATAAAAACACGAAGTTACCTATTCTAACATTTTAAGTTCATCTGAACGTTTAATGCGCAGTTCCAGAAAAATATCCATACCTGCACCCCAAGGAAGATTAAAATTAAACATGAAACTCTAGGGGGATTAGGGGGTTCAAACCAAACAAACCTTCTATGATATTGTCTGGCACCACACAGTAATAAATAAATACTTGTTTGGTTCATGTCAGCAATAAATGAATTTGTTTTTAGCATGTCAATACTAAAAATTATTGTTTAATTCAGCCATAAAAAATTAAACCTATTATAACTATTTCTTTGTTTGAACAAGAATGAAATGTGTGTATAATAATTTTTTATCACCTTTTCCAAATTCTGCTGGTATTTCTTCTTTGCCCTATGTTCCTGTCCTTACCATGTGACATTCTAGCAACTTCTCACCCAGAACAAAAAATGGTACTCCAGAAAATGGGATATGTTCATCCTTCCATAGAACTTTGTGGGGCTTTGCAGCAGGATCTATATGTAAAGTCAATAAGGATTGTAAGGGTTGGTATTTGTGGGGGTTCTGTGTATTATTTTGGTGGCCACTTTTGAAATTCCAAACCCATACAGTAATGTGCTGCCAAGTGGCAATATTATTGGCCCAATAAATTATTCTTTAAAAAAAAAAAGCCGACACAAAATAGGGAATCAATTTTAGATCTCAGACAAACATCGTGAATGGTTGTGAGTTGTAGAAATGAGCTATATATCATTCCAATATATATATATATAAGTGGTGTAAGTATCAGTATTGTAAGTTTGTGTGTTAATAAAAAATAAAATAAATCATTCCAATATATTTATTATTCAAACTCCAGATAACAAACTACTGGTATTTAGAAACACAGATGGCACATGCACACACTTAAGTACCCAAAAAATTTGGTCCATTCAACACCCCACCCCACCCCGCCACTCCCCTTCCACCCCCAGGTAATAAATATTATTTGAGTACTTGTCACACGGTTGGTCCCCCTGCCTTCCTTTTCAGTGACACTCAGGGCATCTTGACTGGGGAAAATTGTAATGGAAGAAGAAATGTGTGAAAATAGAAAAGGCCCACGGTACGTACTGTCGATACCCAATGAGCCTGTAAGTAACTCAAGTAAGCTAAGGGACTGGTCATAAAGTACAGGTGGGGGTGGGCTGGAAAAATAAGGGGGGTGGGTCACTGTTTCAAATAGCCCGGGTAAATATGATACCAGATCATTAATGATTATTGGTATAAAACTCATATTTGAGTAATGACGGGACATGGCATTTTCCATTAATAAAAACAAGATCAAGGCCCAAATTAGCTAATATTCAGTGCAGCAAGAGCCTTTATAGAACATGGCAATCAAATCTCTCTCTTCTCGTGCTTTTTACGCATTTTTACCGTTTCGTCCGAAGTCTTTCGAAGCGCGGACACAGCAAAACCTACTGGTTGTTGCAGTTTCGTAGGCATCAACTCTCTCTTTTGCTTCTTCAAAGGAAGACACGGATATCCATCCTTCGTTCGCCATTGTGAATTGTGCCGGCTTTCGAAAAGCCCGCGAAATCTTTCCTGGGACCCTCGTCATTAGTCAATGATTAACAAAGTTATTCTGCCTTACCTCACTTCCGGTGTACGGTTGGTGCGTGTGAAAGATCAACAGTTACTAAGGTAAGTGTATATCACAATCATCACAAGGACACAGGCAGATAAGAGAAGCCAGCATTATGATGTATTTATGATCACTTTTTTTTACTGTAAGCTTACAAGTTACAACCCTATAAACATGCACTGGATACACGGATTTATTATGTCGCGTTTATAGTTTAGACCAGGTTTAGAGCACTACTAGAATCAGAAAAATAGTCACTCGAAAATTGTGAAGAATTTCTTGATTGAACACACCGTACTAATAATCCTCGCGTGCGGGAGAAGTGTACTCTTCGGCCGTGTGAAGAAGTTCGCGTGTAGCAGAGATCAGAACAATCAAAAGGACACTTGTTTACGAAGAAAACTGCGATTGATTTCAGTACACTTCCTTACCGTTACGCAATTAAAAGCGCTTATTTTGCTGTAAACAGACATTATTTGACCACTGGGTGAGCGGATGACAGATCAGGACGACATCGACGAAGACCTCGCTCGCTCGGAGTCACTCGAGACGTCGGAGATCAATCAAAATATGCTAATGAGTTTTACTAATCTGCATATTTAATGCGGACTTTTGATCATTGTGAACGAGTGCTAACCTTGTTCCACATGTGAAGCCATCACGTTCCTCGCCATAGTAAGACATAATTTTCCTGTGACGACATTTAACAGGATCTTCAAGGAAAATGATGAGATCATTAAGCACTTTGCTCTGGTTTTCAAACTGGTCATGGTGTTTAAACATTTTCAACAAAGCTGTTGTATCTGTGTGGCTATAAAACATACAGCACTTAGCCGGTTGCCCATCACGACCAGCTGTGCCACATTGTTGATAATGTAGCGTTCTGCTTTGGCGAAGAATGAGCACAAAGACACGGAGAAATTCAATTTAGTATCATTCTTGTAATCTCCAAACATAACCACAACAACTGCGCATGCTCTCCTAAACTCAATACGGCGCATGCGCTACACAGCTCCCCCTCTTAAAGTAGCACTGTCCACAGTGCATCGGGACTACTAACAAACTGGAACTAACAAAACTAACACGCCTAAGGACCGCAATTAGAGACGAAACTAGTAACTTAGTTAAAGAAAGGTTCAGTTTCAAGTCTCGTTCAATCTAGTGCCACTCAGTTATACTCGTCTCCGTAAATCAACTCAATTAATGTTTTAACGTGTTAACCCATTCTCCAAAACGTTCAGGGCCTTCACCCTTCTTCTTCCTTGGCCTCTTTGTACTCCTTCTACCACTGTCTCCGCAAGTGGGTCTTGTTCAATGGCCATGTCGGCTCCACCATCATTACTTGCTTCTGTAGCCCCACAGTCCGCAGGAACCTCAGCATTCTGCAACCCATCCTCTTGCTCGGGCCGGACATCATCCTCTCCGTCTTCTAACTCCTCCACTGAAGCTTCTGACTCCACATCGGAATGGTGTATGCTTGGTTCGCCATCAGGTGAAGACTGGATTACTCCATCATCAACAACCACCTGCTTCTGGAGCGCAACACTCTGCACGACTTCGGATTCATTTAGCGGAGGGGGAGCACAAGCAGATATCCAACTCTTAAGAGGTGGCCCAGATAAGGCTTCAGCCTGTCCGAATGCACTACCTTGGCTTGGCTCTCTGTGACTTTTGATACGGTAAACCCACATCTGATAAGGCAGCAGTCACGAGGTACGGACCCTCCCATGGACAGTCAAGCTTTGGGTTTCTCCCCTTCTTACGTCGTACTTGATGCAGCCACACGCTGTCACCCACTTGGAAGGGTTTTCCAGCCATCTTCTTGTCGTAATTTCGTTTCTGGCGCACAGCAGCTTTCTTCAGTTTTTGACGTGCACACTCGTGCGCAGTAGCCAACCTCTGGTGCAAGGCTTGTGCATAATCGGTGACCGGACTCGGAGTATCTGGGGAGAACTCCGTAATAGCATCCAACGGCACTTCGATTTCCTCTTCCTAACATCAGTTCGTTGGGTGTTGACCCAGTGGATTCGTGAACGGAAGACCGGTAAGCCATCATACATGTGGGTAGCTGAAGATCCCAATCTTCTTGCTTGTCATTTAACTTTCCTCTAAGCATCTCGATCAACGTGCGATTGTATCTTTCAACTTGCCCATCCGATTGGGGTGTAAGGGTGTTGTCCTAGTCTTTTCAATGTCTAGCAGTTTACAAACTTCCGCCATGACCTTTGATTCAAAGTTCGTGCCCTGATCACTATGAGTTGTCGTGGCACGCCAACCGACAAATGAACTCAGACACAAACTTTTCTGCAACAGTTGGGGCAGTCTGGTCAGGAATGGCATAACTTTCTGTCCATTTAGTAAAGTAATCAGTTACAACAAGCACGTATCGGTTTCCGCTGGTCGTTAATGGCAGGGGACCGAGTATATCCATTGCAATCCTCTCGAGGGGAGCACCCACGACATACTGTTTCAAAGGAGCGCGCCGTTTTCGTCCTGAAGTCTTCTTTGCACCACAATCATGACATCTTGTAACCCATCTGTATGTCTGCGAAGTCAGACCAGGCCAATAATAGCGCTGTCTAAGAGAACTGAGAGTTTTGTTAACTCCTCTATGGCTTGCTGTCGTATGGTTGTGGTGGGCTTCGAGGGCAGTCTCTCTCAAACTCTCTGGAAGTACAATTTGGTATGTTACCCTGTCACCACTATCACTCTCCCATCTACGACATAATACTCCGTCTTGGAGGGAAATGCGATCCCATTGTGACCAAAGTGCTTTCAATGTAGGACTTTTATCTGAGACGTCCGGCCATTGTGAGCGTTCCTTAGGCAGACTTCTTCAGCTCAATGAAGGTCTTCAAAATGGGATCTACTGACTGTTGTTGCTTTAGGTACTCCGTTGTCCACATGGGTTCTAATTTCACCACTTCACATTTGTTCTGCAGGGGGCGACTGGTTGTAGGTGCCCCTATTAGTTCTTCTTCCACTTCGGTCTGTGTTCCCACTTCACACCTGGGTAGGGGTTCCTTCTTGTTCCACACTTGGCACCATTTGCAACGGTCATCACAGGGTCTCCGAGACAAGGCATCAGCATTGTTGTGACGTTTTTCCTTCTCGATACTCAATGTTAAACTTAAGCGTGCTCAAGAAGGAAATCCAGCGTGCTAACTGTCCCTCTGGGTCTTTTGTTGCAAGGATAGACCGTAGTGGGGCGTGTCTGTCCAAACTAAGAACTGGGATCCCTGGAGATAATGTCGGTGCAGTTTAGTGAATTCGAC